AAACTTTCCCGATGAGTAGTAGGATATAAATACAAGCATGTCTAAATTTATACTCTTCAGGTGACTCCTCGATTGGTGGTTCATATTGGTACATGTCTTTAAGCCATGTCAACCTCGTAGTCATTCCTTTATCAATTTGTGGTGGTTCATCTCCTAAAATATAACTGCATGCACCAACACCTAGCTTCGTCGGACCATTTACAACTTTACCATCTACAAGAAGCCCCAATAACATACTCACATCTTCTAATGTAATTGTGCATTCACCGTTTGGAATATGAAATGTATGAGTTTCGGATCTCCACCTTTCTAGTAAGGCTATAATTAACCTTGAATCAATGTGTGTGGACCCTATTGTAGATACATGGTAGAAACCAGATTGGTGTAGGTAAGAGATTATGACTGCATGTGGCTTAAGAGGTTTGTGAGCTCGAATTCTCCATTTTGAAATATAAGTATCATCAATCTGTAATAAAAATAAATAATACAGAAAAATATCCAACATTACTATGCAACAAAATTCTAAGAACAAAAATAATATTGAAAGCTCAAAAATAAATAATATTAATAATATTGAAAGAATAAAAAAAACTTACAACATTGATATTTTCTACTACTCCCCTATGTTTTATACCATACCAAAACATATTGGCCATAATTATGAAAATGAAGAATTAACTGAGCAACTTATCAAAAGAGAGTAGAGAGTGTGGAGTGAATAGAATGAAGTGTATTTGTGGAAAAATGAGGTGAGAGTGATTGAGTATTTATAGGAAAAATTTGAGAGTGATGAGTGTTAGTTGGTAGTTGAATAATTAAATTAAATGTGGTTGGTAGGTAGTTGAATAATTTAATTAGAGTTGGTAGGTAGTTGGATAATTTAATTAGAGTTGGTAGGTAGTTGGATAATTTAATAAAAGTTGAATAAATACAAATTTGTATATTTATTGCGTATATTGTAAGTTACATGGTTTTGTACACAAGATAAAACTTCATCGGCTAATCTACTGAATCTAACATACAGCACAAATGGTGTCTCATTAATACCAATTCGAAAATCCTAAAACATGTTAAATACATCTGTATCTATAATTAACTTTGTAATATGCTGCACCAACACTCCATTTTCGTTGATTGTAGTCCGGTTGAAAGATATCTTTGTAATGCTCCTATTAATATCTGTGATTTGATGCAATTGATTTTTCAAGTGAATGAGTTTAGGCCTTTCCATAAGCCGTAAAACTAAAGGATTAGAAAATGCATTTCTATAATCAAACATAACAACCTGTGAATTATACAGAATAATGTATACTGAGCAAAGTATCAAAGCCATTTTGATGTTAAATCAGAATCGTTTTCTGTTGCATTTATATAGATGGCACGCGTGCTATTCACGCCAATAACTATGCCCTCACGCTATTTGACATGGCGACTGTCAAAGCTTCACGCCATTTAAGATGACGCGTCTCTAAACTTCACGCCATTTGAGAAGGCGCGAGTCTATAGTTCACGCCAATTAAGAAGGTTCACGCCATTTAAGATGGCGAGAGCATGCATGAACCGAATTCGAAATTGCTTTGTTTATTAAGACCAATGCAGTTGTTTCTTGTATCCACACCGTAATTGAATATTACTTCAAATAATGTCACAAAATCATATTTCTCATCTCTTACATTTCAATGGTAGTATATTTAGTGATAATAATATTGGAGTGGTCTTTCAAAATACAGATACAAAGATCTTAAATATTCATCGAAAAAGTGATTTAGCCCACTTGACGAAAAAAATAGAAGAAAGTTTACAACAACATGTAACTTCTATTTTTTATCGATTTCCAATAGTTAATCCACTTGATCACAATGTCACATACAACACTGCAAAAATTGAAGACAATGAAGATGTTCGTTCAATGTTTCAATGCCACTCAAGGTTTTGCAGTCAACAAACAATGGAGTTGTATGTTTGTTTTCAACAGGTACAGGAAGTATATCCAACACAATCATCACAAACTCATGCATATCAACTAAGTCAGGCCTCCCCACAAGAAGAGTCTGTCCAAGCACAACATAATGAGCCATTCTTTCTCGAAGAGGATGTTGGTGATGATACTGACTTTGACGATGCCAGACGAATTAATTTGTTTAGTGGGTCTAGTGACGAGTCGGGTGATGATGACAGACAGGAAGCAGACCCGACTCCTATACTTGATCTATACAACCCATCGTATCACTTAAGAAATATTCCCTTCTTGAGTGTGTGGAACCCATTTCAGTCTTTGAAACCATAGACGAAGGTGAGTCACGTGAAGACTTAAAGGTTGGTATGTATTTTGAAAACAAAGAAGCGTGTCTCCATGCAATATCAGAATATCACATAAAAATTCTTATACTTTTAAGGTTTGTAAGTCTGATCCGACACGATATTTGATTAAATGTAAAAAGGAGGGATGCAGCTTCACATGCAGAGCTTCATTAAGGGATGGGTGTGGTCAATGGGTTATTGGCAGAATTGGAGGACCACACACTTGCATATCGATTGCTATATCTCAAGATCACCAAAAGTATATCTAAAAATGATTGCCCATAACATCATACCTCTTGTCGACAGTGACGCGGCAATCAAGGTTAGACATATTATTGCTCATATTCGTACAACTTATGGCGACACCATATCTTACAAAAGGCATGGATTGCAAAGAACAAAACAATCAAAGATATTTATGGAAATTGGGAGGCCTCTTATAACAACCTGCCGCAGTGGTTCCTAGTCATACAACAATTTCTCCTAGGTACCGTCATAGATCTTGAAACACTTCCTGTATATTCAAATGAAGGAACACAGATTGTTGGTGTAAGAATTTTCCATCGCCTTTTTTGGGCCTTTCAACCTTGTATTAGGGGTTTCGCACATTGAAAACCTATAGTGCAGGTAGATGGTACATGGCTATATGGAAAATATAGGGGCACATTGCTACTGGTTGTTGCACAAGAGGGCTATGGTAACATTTTCTCTATCGCATATGCATTGGTCGAAGGTGAGACCGGGGGGGGGGGGGGGGGGCTTGGAGTTTCTTTCTGGAAAATTTGAGACTCCACGTCACACCCCAGTCAGGCTTATGTTTGATTTTTGATCGACATGAGTCTATTAAGAGTGCCTACAATAACTCGGACAATGGTTGGCAGAACCCACCTTCGGTGCATGTGTATTGCATTAGGCACATCGCACAAAACTTCATGCGGGCCATCGAGGACAAAAACCTTCGCAAGACAGTTGTTAACATGGGTAATTTATTCTCTATTTTTTAACATGGCTTTTAAATATATAGTTCTTTTATATTAATGTTTTTAATGCTTATACGCAGAGTATGCACTTAATGAGTCTACATACGCATACTATCAAGAGGATATCCACCAAACAAACACAGAGGCTTTCAATTGGATAGAGAATCTTCCAAGAGAAAAATGGTCGCGAGCTTACGACGGAGCAGCACGATGGGGTCACATGACAACCAACCTTGTTGAATCTTTAAACTCAATGTTGAAGGAAACCTAAAACCTACTTATTACATCACTTGTAAGATTAACATACTACAGGATGGAAATATTGTGGGGGAAGCGAGGGAAGGATTGGACAAATAATTTGTTATCGGGAAAGGAATTCACAGATAACTACATGAAAGGAATTGCAGAAGAAGTAGAAAAATCCCACAGTTATAATGTATTGCCTTTTGACCGTGAAAGTCACTATTTCGTGGTCCAAGAGACGGTTAATAATAGGAATTATCCACCACTTACTCATTTCAACGTCAACCTCCAAAAACGAACTTGTGACTGTGGAAAATTTCAAACTTTTCATCTTCCTTGCTCACATGCTATTATGGCTTGTTCTCACATTAACCACGACTATACTAAGTTTATTCCTCATGTGTATAGAGTTATAGACGTCTTCAAAATTTACCTACAAAGTTTCATTGGTGTTCCCCAAGAAGATAATTGGCCTCCATATTTGGGCGATACTATTTTGCATGATGAAAGGATGTGACGAAACAAAAAAGGTCGCCCGAATAGTACTCGCATTAGAACTGAAATGGACACTGTTGAGAAAATAAAAAGACGATGCAGAATCTGTCAACAACCCCACATTCACAAAAAATATCCGCATCGCCTCAACAATGCAGGTCCTTCTAACTAATTTTACCGATGTATTGTTATTTATAAGTACTTTTAATCGTATTTTTTTACTTAGTAATTTGATTGTAATTGTTCATTTTTATTATTTAATAAGAATTTTTATTATTTAATTATAATTGTTAATTTATAATTATTTAAGTTTTTTAATTAATATTTTATTAATTAATTATATGATTAAATAGTTTATTAAACTATTTATAATTAATTAATAAAATTAAATAATAAAAATGATTATTAAATATAACAGAAAAATTAAAAAACGAATTAAAAAAAAAGCACATTCACGCTATTTGAAATGGCGCAAGTCTATTGACTGTATAAAGGGTGGGACTCTCACGCTATTTCAAATTGCGCAAACCTTTCTGTGCGTGGTATATTGGACATTTCATTTTATCATGTGTCATTTTGAGTTTTTTTTCACAGGTGTGACATGTAGGAAAAAATTTCTCAAAATTTTGGAATAAGATGCTCTAAATCAGAAAAATATATTCAAATTTTATGATGCTCTAAGATATATTTTTATAAGATATATTTTTATGTATAATGTATTATCTTAGAGCATTTTATATGGTATAATGTATTCAAATTTCAATTTTTTCGGATTTTAGATCATCCATTTTTGAGCCAAGACAAATACAAATGTGAAAGGAAGCAAATTAAAGTAACAATGGGACTTACCAAAGTTACAACAAGCCAACCTTATCCTTGTCACCTGTCAAACACAAAACCCTCAACTCAGCAATGGACGCTTTACTCCAATAGTTACATTATTCCAATTCACTTCTCAACTCTTCATCTTCCTCAAACTCAATGGCTTCTACTACACCTTCTGTTTCCTCTTATATCTCCAACAGAATCTACAACCTTTCATTCACACACTCTTCCATTTCTCTCACGTCAAACCATCCTCAAAGACCCATTTCCCATAAACCCCTCAATCTCATCCTCAAGTCTCAAAGTTTCACTCTTTCCCCTCTCCCACTTCAATCTCTTCAACCCCCATTTGCTGCAGCAGATGAATTTGAAACTACTCAAGACAACATAGTTTCTCAAGAGGAACAAGAACAAGAAACAGAACCAGAAACAGAACAGGAAACCTCTGATAATAAACCACAGAAAGAGGAAGAACAGAAAGTGTCAACCTCGGACGATGCTGGAAGACTCTATATTGGAAATTTGCCGTTTTCATTGACTTCTTCCGAATTGTCTGAGATCTTTGCAGAAGCTGGCACTGTCGTATCTGTTGAGGTTTTTGCTTTCATTTTATTTTTACATAATTTATTTCCCTTTTTTTACTATTCAATTGGAAAATTCAATTTTTTTTATGTGGATTTTTTTTTATATGATATTTTTGTGTTTTGTTTGATTGGATTATATAGATGGTCTATGATCGAGTTACAGCCAGAAGCCGGGGATTTGCATTTGTTACAATGAAGAGTGTTGAAGAAGCTGAAGCAGCAATTCAAATGTTTGATGGCTCTGTAAGTCTTCTACAATAGCTTGTACTTAGTTTGGTTTGATTCAGTTATGGGCGTGCAGGGCTGGCTACCATACATGGTACAAAATTTGTTACAGGTAAACCGTAGGTAAATAGAGTTTATAAAATATTGTCAGGTTAAATCACGCTTAAATAGGGCCACCTTTATTTGTTTTGCCAAAGTTTAACTGCCAGGCTAATGTACATATGGCCTCTAAAAATTTGAGACGACTCTGATTCAACTATACTCTCTTCAAATTCTTGATCATAGTTGAGCACTTGAGCTTTCTGACCTAAATAATCCATTTATAGTTAGTTGAAAGTTGATGTTATTGATTATAATGATTTACAGCAAGTTGGTGGTAGGAGTGCTAAGGTGAACTTTCCAGAAGTGCCTAAAGGGGGTGAAAGGTTAGTAATGAGGCAAAAAAATAGAATCAGCAACCAAGGCTTTGTAGACAGTCCTCACAAGATCTATGCTGGAAACCTTGGCTGGGGAGTGAACTCTCAGGATCTTAGAGATGCCTTTGCAGAACAGCCAGGAATATTGAGTGCTAGAGTCGTCTATGAGAGGGACAATGGAAGATCTCGAGGTTTTGGGTTTGTTACTTTTGAAACTGCTGAGGATTTACAGGCTGCTTTGAATGCTATGAATGGCATGGTAAGAACAATTTTGGGAGATTAGTTTTGATATTTCGAGTTAGTTTTATGATATTTCAGTCTAACTATATAAAATCATATTCCGTTCAATATTTTCAGGAGGTTCAAGATCGGCCGTTGCGATTGAATTTGGCTGCAGAGAGGAAATCTTCATCTCCTCCAACAGTAATTGAGGAAAGTACATCAAGCAATGTTGATAGTTCGGAATTGGTGTCTAGCGCAAGTGCTTGAGAAAATATGTTTGATCAAAGTTTTGCCTGCAAAATATACATCATTTAGCTTTTCTCTCCTCCAAACAATATTATCTGTCAAACTGATTCATACACTAGAGTTTCAGACAGTTGTGAGATGTATACATATAAGAGGTTAATGTCAATTATATGGTTTGTAATTGTGAAGAACAAACTTCCAGAATTTGATGTGCTAAGATTTATTCAAGTGAGGAATTTTATGAGCATAAACACAAAGGGAGAGTTCGTCCTAAAGGAATAGTCAATTAAGTGGGAGAATAAGTTTCACCTTTTTTTAAGAGATATTCAACAATTTAAGACTCATAATAAGTACCACAAATACACTTTGGGGAACACAACACAACTTACTTCTAATCCATAAAATGCAAAAGTAGTTTATCTAGTCAGCTAACTTATTGTGAATATTTTGCATAAAATTTTGACATCACCTTCTTGAACTTGTGCTGTTTAGTTACAACACAGATAAGTAGGTACGATTTTCCAAGGTAATAGAGAACACGGGTTGAAACCTCCATTATTTTACTTCCAAACATGACATGGTAGGCAAAACCATAACCGGCATAACTCATGTAAATAGACATAGTTGCCTATTGGAATGTTTTGGCTCCTTTAGCATCAGTTGTTTCTATATTACATGTTTGTGAAAATAGAATACAACAATCTGTCACTCATATACTTGGCAAACTGCCAAAAATCATTTCTTGATATTTCAATTCCCGAAAAGGAGCAGGACAAACAATTTCAGTTTCACTTCAAAGACGCTATATAAGCTCAACAGTCTTCTGTTTATGAAGAATTATCGCCAGCTAGAAGAGCATCAGCTGCAGAATCCAAGTCATGCGGGAAAAACACCCTGGAAAGTAATATTTTCCTTAGAGCTCAGATTATATAATAGATAAGCAACACACACAATAGTATATACTAAAAATCATTTTTTATGCCAATCAAACACCAGCTTATTCGGTAAACAGCATGTCATTCAACGATAGTATACTGAAAAACATATATACATCAGGATAGCCCACTAGAAATTTAGTTTTCCAAACAAACAAATAGGATCAAAAATTCTGTGATCAGTTCATTAAGTAATGGACAAGTCCCGAGACAAGCTATGTTACCTGCAAGTGTTGTGGTACAATGTTCTACTGAGGTTATCCGTGTCATTGATGCTTTTACAACCAGCAACCACCTCAAGAACTTGCCTGGAAAATTACAGTCAATCAGACTTATTTCTACAATAGTCTTTCAAAAAAATGAATGCAAAAGATTAACAATAAAGAAGATATTTCTTGAAGCGATAGTTACACATTGATAAGCAAAACCATACCAATTACCTAACTAAACAAGGTTCATTACGACCTTTGACAATGCACTCTTGATCATACTTCTCTTTCTTCTTAGAAGACCATTTAGATTTAACAAAACCCATCCCGGCATGAGTGTTCTTTATTTCACAGTATGGTGAGTCTGTCTCAATCATCATTCTCTCAACAGGAATACCCTTGACAACATCAAGGTTCTCAGTTGCCTTCAGGGAGCACCCATTTATGCCTGTCAGAGTACCAAAAAATGTGAATCATTCATGGGATTTAACTATAATGTTAGCATTCAATCACCACAATCCCACACCATTCATATGTCTATCTTTGTATTTTGATATCAAAACACCAAGAACAACTTTGAACACAAAGCTTTCCTCAAGTGCATTTATCTTTTTACCTAAAGAAGCTTGCAATAGCATGATAAAATTTCATTTATGGTTATATTTTCAGAAATACAACCAAAAATTAGACATACCAGGGTGCTCTAAAGTAGGTTAGCAGCAGATATAGTAAAGCTAGAAAAGATGGATTTACCAATGTACATTTTATCAAATGAGAGAAGCTTAATGCACTCATCCGTAGTACCAGTAAATGAATGGGTGACACCACCAGAGAACCTGCAATAAAAGTAGAAATGATTACAGACTCCATATCACATCCCAAAGTGATTTGATTAGGTCTCCAGGTAATTTTTGTAACCCTTCAAATGATGGGTTAAGAGTTTGGAAAGAACCACATGTATCATTAAACAAACCTGCCCAGTGAAACTTATTCTGATAGATGTTGGACAGTTCATATCATTTTCCCCTAAAAAAACATAGCTAAGGTTGCCAACAGTACTTTCTAACCAATACAACCAAGTTCATTTTTCGAAATGAATAAAATGATAGGCTAAACAAGAGGCGGTCCAAAGCAGTATTATTTGAATATTTACAATTTCAAAATAGTGAGATCCAACAATCACACCTGTCTTTATTTTTTTCAACTATTTCACAGAAATCTTCAGCTGCTGCTCGCATGTGCAAAAACATAGGCAATTTTGTGATGTATGCCAATTCAAACTGCTTCTCGAAATACCTAGTATCAGAAAAAGAAGAAGATAATTCATTAATAAGTTTAATATTAAATAAAGACAAATAGGAAGTAAGGGTAAAAGATACTAAAGTGACACGTGTAGCAACAGATAAACTGTGCATACTTCTTTTGAATCTCTGCGGGGCAAAAATGAAGTCGGTCATAGTCTAATCCACATTCTCCAACTGCAACCACCTAGCAATTGAAAAGGAGAAACAAGAACGCAAAGTTATTTCTTAAAATGCTTACTTAGACAGTAGTTTCCGAACTAGAACATAAGTTCTGCCACTACATGAATAACAACATACATTGTGACATGTCTAGAACTGAATAAATCACTTAAGAAATCAAGATTCAGAACTATGTGGATCTGACATGCACAAGCACATCTAGTTAAAATAAGATTAGTAATTTTCTTAATTTCTATAGTTTAAGCATACCTTTCCTTTCTGAATTCCCTCTTTAGCCAATGACAAAAGAGCTTGAAAATGATTTTCTGGATCTCCACTCTCCTCAAATTCCTAAACCAAAACACCCAGTCACATTTACAAATACTATTTTCCATCTGAACTACTGCAGTTCAGGGTATGTTTGGATGAGAGTTTTGGAGGGATAAGTCTATATTTTGCCATATATTTGAGATTTCGAAAAAATTGAAAGAAAAACATGATATACGATCATGTAGCATTTCAATTACACTTAAGTAATTTTTAGAAACATTTTGTAGCGTCCTTTATTTCGAAAAGAAAAAAAGCCCTTTCCTCCAAAATACTTCATCCAAACATACCCTAAAAATCAAAAGAGAAAAGAAAATAAACCTTGCAACGTGTTGGATGCACACCAACTGTACAGAAAAGTCTTCCTGTGATCAATCCATAAATTATCATCACAATAAGATTCTATTTAGATAAACAACTTAATTATGCGCTTACAATATAAAGGCTTATGTATAAACATTTCTATAACAAAAAGATAAAACAAATTCAAACTATTTTAATACAAATAATAAGCTTTTTTTATAAGTTAATCTGAAGAGCTTCTGAACTAAGTTGAAAAAACACCTTATAGACAGTCATAAGCTCATAACTCATAAGTTGTTCCAATAAGCTCTTCACATTAGTGATTATATTTATGCCAATATCTAAGCCCAAGTAAGTCAATCTAAACAAACCCTAAGGGGAACCAAAAAGTAATAAAATGACAAACCATCTGTTTCAGCAATTGCTAGAGCTTCCCTTGATTCCTGAAGGGATCCACCAGTTACCTGCAACACAAAGAAAACACAAAATTAATCATCTATCCCTGAATTTACTTAATTAATGGAAATGCTCAAAGCATAAATCAAAACTGGCAATGTAATTTATACAATGATTCTGTGGACACCAGCAGCCCAAGCCCTGTTCAAAACGGTTGGTATATCAGCAACATGACATTGTTTGCCATTGTAGATTCCCTTAAACATGCCATCTGCAGTGATTTTGAATTAGTATAATGATTACAATTAATGCAAATAAGGTGTTTGATAAAATGCCTGACCCGTGAAGTTGACGGCTATATCTGCATTTGTTGAGAGAATTAACAATTATCAGTTACGAAATTGAAGTTCTTGATAGTGAATCCAATCCAAAGTGTGTTACAGTTACTTACCTATCATCCGAATAGCTGCCATGTTTGTGTCGTTGTTCCCTTGCCTCACTCGACGAGAAAAGGAGCGATAAGTATGCGCTAGAGAAAAAGTGCTAAAGTTTTGGCATTGCTATCTACACCCTTATAATTTACCATCCACACCCTGCTACATTGTTTGTGAAAAATTTCTCAACACCAAGGGTTTTGGAGAAATTAAAATGCCAACTCTCATATTATACATGTCATCCCCAAATTTCATTATTCCTAAAATACTCCTTTCACTATTTATTCTAAATTTTTTATTTTTATTAAAAAAAAATTACTATTGGTCAAAAGAGATAAAAAAAGAAATTTCCAGTACTCTTAACAAATTTCCGATACCGAGTTTTTTCGCATACCGGAAATTATGTATACTCTATAAATTTCTGGTTGTCATTTATCAGAAATTTCAAAATTTCCGATTGCGATTTATTGAAAATTTTAAAATTTCCGTAAATTTTACAAAAGTCGTTACACGTACCAGAAGTTTGCTAAATTTCCAGTAGAAAACCTTTACCGGAAATGTCGAATTTTTGATGTACCGGAAATTTCAGTTATACTTGAAAATTCGGATATGTCTGCAGATGAAATTTTATATCTTTGTGATCCTGAATCGACAGATTCAGCTTTTTCTACGGATTCATGTACTGATCTTACCCAGTTCTTCATCATAGATACCGTATATTTTCTATTTAATTTACACAATTTCTATTTTTATTTTTTGTAAATTGATGAAGTATACTAATTATATCTTATTGTAATTGTCATATTTTTGAATCACGAGATAAAGTTCTAGAATGGGCACAGTCTACTGGAAAAAATCTTGGTATTGTTGTTGTTACAATTCGGTCTGATTCTGCTAATGGATTGCGAGAGAGGAAAGATAAATTGATTATGGGTTGTGAGAGATGAGGAAATT